ATCCCTAAATTTGAAATGAGGAAATCGAAAAAAATACATTCTCTGAAGTCACTTCAAACACGTGTTCAAATTCATATTGTCTGTCTATTTTGAAAGGTATGAAGCAGGCATTTTACAGGCACTTTAAGAAATTAATCAATATTTCAGACGTCTTGTGCATTTCACACCCTTACATATTCAATTCATATTCATAATTCATATTGTTTCATATTAGTCATCCAGTTTAGTGTAATTCTTGACTGAGAGGCGTATAGCATTGTGCAACGCCCACAATCTCCCAGTACTGTTTAGAGCACTTTGAGAGACATCTAAAACTATTCTGCAAACACAATATCGCACTTTTAATTGATTCATATTCGAGGTGACCTCCAAGAAACCTGTAACTTGAAATTGTAAAATTTTATATATTTACAAAATTTTTATAACATCTGTACCTGTCACTCACTGTAATGTGATGAATTTTTCATAACTTCAAAACATTAACATAAACTTACATCACAAAAATATGAAAACATTTACTAAAATTTTATTGTGAACACACAATCTGTCAAATATTAAAAAGAATTTGTACATTATCTATATTTAAAGAAAAAGACAAGGCTAATAACATTATATTCCCAGATGAAAGAGCTCGGCAAATGTTAGAAAATGCAATTTACAGTTTTTTTATATCACCTTTCTTTCACTAGATATTCAACTTGTCATCAGTTTATGTAGTTCACCATCTTGATTCTTTAGCAAAGAATTGTGGGTAAAGTATGACATCATACCAACTGTTGTTAGAAATTGGTAAAATGATTTCATCTAACTTAAAAAATTGACATCCAAATTGATTGAAAGTTTAGAACATGATAGCATATATGTACTATTTTGTGTTTTTCTACCAAAATGCGAGTAGCTTATACAGGTGATACATGACCTGTTGACTATGTAAAGGGGACAAAAAAGTGTCATTTTATTTTTAAAAACCAACGATTTTTATTCATTTTGCATTTTAGGCAATATCTTCACTTTCTGTGTATTTGTAACATTCTACATTCCATTATTATAATTATATACATAATTTATATGCACACCGAAAATTTGAACTGATTCACTACTGTATTTCTCACATTATAAGATATACCGGTAAGCATTTTTTCAATTTTTAAAAACAGAGGATATGATGTCACACTTTACCCACAATTTTTGCTGGAAAAAAAAGATGGCAGACTACATACTGATGAAAATTTGATTATCAGGAGAGTGAAAAGTGATATAAAAAAAACTTTAAATTACATTCTACTACATTTGTGAAGCTCTTTCACATGGGACCATTATGTCGTTTGCCTTGACTGTTTCTTTAAATAATATTCAAATATATTGCACACCATACAAAAGCAGACGAGTTGTATTTTGTAAATTAACTTAATTGCACTTTAGTTAAATTTCCATGATTTTCCTAAGGCAGGGAAAAACATGACACTTTATAGTTGTAAATATTGTGAATGTTTTTTTAAATGTTTGCCAATATTTTGGAGCAACATTTTTCACACTTTTATGATTTTTTATAGCATTTTGTTTTTTTAATTTTGGACAACAAAGACACAATTTCTTGTTGTCTACAGGTCTTAATCAAAATTTTTGAAATGTGGAAACAATTATGCAGGTCAATTTTGTAAATGTTGACAAAAAATGACTTTAGGATCAAAGAACAAATTCAGTCATAGTGAATTATGCAAAGTCCTATTGGATGATTCTTGTGGCAACAATTTATATCTATCAATTAAATTCACAATAAATAAATGACAAAAATATATTACTATCAATTATATAATCATTAATACAAATTCTGTAAATTGTATCCTAAAACCAAATATGAAAATAACAGTTCATTATATGTCATAAAAATTGTAGCCATTTTAGAGATCTGGTGATATATTCAAAACTATTTTAGCCATTGAAACATTATTTTCTGTATTAAAGATACATCTATTTGCATCTAACTGTTATATTAAATAAAAATTAGGTCAAATTATACGATATGTACATTATTTCTAGCATTAAAATGATATAACTATGGCAAGATATTGTCATAAAATGTCAAGTTACTACTTGGTTGCCAAGTAACGTTTTTCTCTCATCCTCATCACTTGCTTCAGCAGCTTTCTGGGCCTTTATCTTTCTTTTAGCGAACGGAATACACAATAAACAGAAGCATAAGGACAGAACATACATGCCCGGATACATAACAAGAAGGGCATAGCGAAGTCCTATCGCAGATTTCAACACTGGTATAAGAACATTCATGTTTCCTCCAAGCATATTGATGGAAAATATGTAGTATGCCATTGCAAGAGTTTGGCGGCCTTTAGGGGCCTGTTCGACCACTGTTGATGTTGCACAACAACCCCACATTCCTACAGCTATAAAGTTTGGCATCATCACCGCAAAGCACCATGGTGGATCCAGAAGAAGAACTCCAATAGAGAGGGGAATAGACACCAACTGAAAGAGAAGAAAAATAACTTTTCATCACACATAAGATTACTCTGCAGTCAGAAATAATAGTACAAGCTTTTGAATAGATTTTTTTTGTAGAAGTGTGTCCTACCATTTATGTAATAAAACATAGCATAACTATTACAAGCTTGCTTATTGAGAATCAAGATTAAATAACAATAGATGGATACAAACTAACAATACACAATCATTCTTTGCATGGCAGAATTGAGTATAAAAGTCCTGAAACAATGTAATACTGTAGACTACTTTATTTTCGCTTGGAATTTATTTTCGATATTTTCGCTGGAGGGATGATTCTGTGAAAATAAAATCCAGCGAATATACTTTTTTTCCTATATTTCACATTAAACTGATCAAAAATCAGTGAAAATAAATTCCATACAAAACGCCAAAAAAGCCTTTTCAGCGAAAATTAATTCCAGCAAAAATAAAGTATTCCACAGTAATATATTATTTAAAAATTTTATGCGGGAAATACTTAAAAATTTAGATTACAATTACATACGAAAATAATTTATATTAATATTTCTGAAATAATACTACCGGTATATGTACTGTATTAATTTCAGTGTCCAATAGAGAATAATATAACATGAAGTGTATTAAATCTGACAGTTTGCATTTTCTAGTTACACCAAATGTGAATTCAGTTGACATTACACAGAGATTGATAAGACTTTTACATTTGAAGATAATCAGCTAAAAATGTCAGTTTTTGTAACCACAAAAAAAAAACAATTTCAAGTAGAATTTAATATACTGTAATATATACACATAACACAATTTTTAAAGAAATTGGATTAAAACTGTTTGAGTTATTTTAACCACAACAATAAAGAATTACAGGATTGATATTTTCCTCTCATATACCTTATCCAACAATCTTCAATGATGATACGAACAAGGTCAAAATAATAACAATTTTGTGTTCAAGTACAAGACTTCACCAAAATTGCATACTGTAAAATACTTTATACTCGCTGAAAATTAATTTTCGCAATTTCCGCTGAAGGAATTATTTAGTGAAAATAAAATCCAGCGATATACCTTTTTCCTATATTTTACATTCAACTCGCCAAAAATCAGTGAAAATAAATTCTGTACAAAACACCCAAAAGGTCTTTTCAGCAAAAATTAAATCCAGCTAAAATAAAGTATTTTACAGTAATCATATATAATGCGATATTCCACACATATACTGTGAACGACTTCAATTCTGTCAGTGACAAATATTCACATATTTCTAGCAGAGATAATCTTGCTGGTGGACCTAAAACAGTGTCAGTTGCTTTCGTCAATTTTTCTCCATGAATGCCATGAAATGCTAAAATTGTGACCGCTCCGTCCGAATAAACTAAATTGTTTACAGTATTATGCACTTACAATGCTGACACTAAATACATAAATTCTTCCAACGTATCCTCTGCCAAGTGCCGCTCTATCAGAAAGAATACCACCCAAGAATGCTCCAAGTATTCCAAACACAGCTGGGATCCAGGACATGAAATGTTCATATGGATAGTCAGGATAATAATAGCGGAAATAATTTGCAGCATTGTAGTTGAAATTGTAGCCACCGCCACACCTCAGTGAAGATGTTATTAGTACTAGTACAAACAAGACACTCCAA